TGAAAAAAAAAAAAAAGGCTGTTTCAATATCCCCCAAAGGATTACACTAGTTCTCTAGCAGTAAACTCCGACTGAAAGAAAACTTTTGGAATATCAGATATGGAATTCAAAATATGGATCACAGTAACCTCAATGGGATCAATGAGAAATTTGAAAACCAAGACAAAGAAACAAAAAGAATAATTCAGGACATGAATGAAAAATTCACTGAAGAGATAGATATTCAAAAAAAATAACAGAACTTCTACAAATGAAAGAATCATTTTGGTAATTTCAAAATACAGTGGAAAGTTTTAACAACAGACTAGACCAAGCAGAAGAAAGAATTTCAGAGCTTGAAGACAAAGCTTGTGAATTAACTCAGTCAGTCAAAATAAAGAAAAAAGCACCAGAATAAATGAACAAAGTCTGCAAGAAATATGGGATTATGTAAAATGCCCAAACATAAGAATCGTAAGTATCCCTGAGGAAGAAGAAAAAAAAGCAAAAAGCATGGAAAACCTATTTGAGGGAATAATGGAGGAAAACTTCCCTGGTCTTGCCAGAGATTTAGACATGCAGATGTAAAAAGCTCAATAAACTCCTGGAAGATTTTTTTTAAAAAAGGACATCACCAAGGGACATAATCATCAGACTGACCAAAATCAACATGAAGAAGAAAATCACACAAGCTGTGAGATAAAAGCATTGAGTAATTTACAATGGAAAACCCATCAGATTAACAGCAGACTTCTCAACAGAACCCTTATAAGCCAGAAAGAATTGGGGTCCTATCTTTAATCTTATTAATCCAAATAACTTTCAGCCAAGAATTTTCTATCCTGCAAAACTAAGATTGATAAATGAAGGAGAAATAAACTCTTTCCCAGACAAGCAAATACTGAGGGAATTTGTCTTCACCAGATCAGCCCTTTGAGAAATACTCAAAGAAGGTTTAAACATCAAAATGAAAGGTTGATATTCACCAGTATAAAAACACCCAAAATTAAAAAAAAACAAAAAACCTGCAGCTTTTATAAAACAGTAACACGGGGATTATGAAGCAACTAAGTGACAATCAACATAATATCTGGAACAGTATCTCACATATGAATGAAATGAAGAGTTGGTTCTTTGTGACTGTAAACAAATTTGGTAGACCAAAAGCTAGATTAACCAAGAAAAGAAAAGAAAAGATTCAAATAAGCTCAATCAGAAATGAAAAAGGAGCCATTACAACTGATATAAAAATGCAAACATCATCTGAGACTGCTATAAACACCTCTACACACAGAAACCAGAAAATTTAGAGGAAATGGACAAATTCCTGGAAAACAGACAACCTCCCAAGTTCGAATCAGGAAGAAATAGAAACCTAAATAGACCATAGTGAGTAACAAGACTCAAGCAATTAAAAAAAAAATTCTCACTACTAAAAATGCCCAGGACCAGATGGATTCACAGCTGAATTCTACTGGAATAACAAAGAACAGGTACCAATCCTACTGAAACTGGTCCAAAAGACAGAGAAGAAGGAAATCATCCCTGACTCATTCTACAAAGCCAATATCCCCCCCCGATACCAAAGCCAAGAAAGGACACAACAAAAATAGAAAACTACAGACCAATATCCATCATGAACATAGATGCAAAAATCTTCAACGAAAGACTCGCGAACCTATTCCAACAGTACATTGAAAAAGTAATTCACCACAATCAAGTGGGTTTCATGCCAGGAATGCAAGGATGGTTCAACATTTTCAAATCAATAAATATGATTCACTATATAAACAGAATTACAAACAAAAAACATATGATCATATCAATAGATGCAGAATAAACATTCGACAAAATCCAACTTGTTTCATGATATAAACCTTCAACAAACTAGGCAAAAAAGGAACATACCTTAAATGATAAAAGCTATACATAACAAACCCACAACCAACATCATACTGAATGGGGAAAAGTTGAAAGCATTCTCCCTAAAAACTGGAACAAGACAGGGATGCCCACTTTCACCACTTCTATTCAACCTAGTACTGGAAGTCCTAGCCAGAGGAATTAGGCAGAGAAAGAAATAAAGGGTTTCCAAAAACAGAAAAGAGGAAGTTAAACTACCTCTGTTTGGCAATGATATGATATCATACGTAGAAAACCCAAAAGTCTCCTGCAAAAGACTCCTAGAATTGATCAATGAATTCAGTAAAGTTTCAGGCTATAAAATCAATTTACACAAATCAGTAGCATTTCTATATACTAATAACAACAAAAATAACAACCAAGCTGAGAATCAAATCAAGAACTCAATCCCATTTACGATAGCTGCAAAAATAAATAAATAAATAAAATATCTTGAAATATACTTACCCAAGGAGGTGAAAGCTCTCTACAAAGAGAACTACAAATAACTGATGAAAGAAATTTTAGATGACACAAACAAATGAAAAAGCATCCCATGCTCATGGATTGATAGAATCAGTACTGCTAAAATATCCATACTGCCCAAAATTATCTACAGATTCAATGCAATTCCTAGCAAAATTCCAACGTCATTTTTCATAGAATTAGAAAAAACAATCCTAAAATTCATATGGAACCAAAAAAGAGCCTGAATAGCCAAAGAAATTCTAAGCAAAAAGAACAAATCTGGAGGCATCACATTACCTGACTTCAAATTCTGTTACAAATCGATAGTAATCAAAACATCATGATACTTGTATGAAAGTAGACCCATAGAGCAATGAGACAGACTAGAGAACCCAGAAATAAAGCCAAATACCTAAAGCAAACTGACATTTGACAAAGCAGACAAGAACATACACTGGGGAAAGGGCACCCTATTCAATAAATGGTGCTGGGAAAATTGGTTAGCCACATGCAGAAGAATGGAACTGGATCCCTATTTCTCAGTATACACGAAAATTAACTCAAGATGAATTAAAGACTTAAATGTAAAACATGAAACAATATAAATATTAGAAGAAACCCTAGGAAAACCTATCCTTGATACTGGCCCAGGTAAAGAATTTATGACTAAGACTCCAAAAGCAAATATAACAAAAGCAAAAATAAATAAATGGGATGGACTTAAAAAGCTTCTGCATAGCAAAAGAAATAATCAACAGTAAATAGACAACCTACAGAATGGGAGAAAATATTTGCAAGCTATACATCTGACAATGAAGTAATATCCAGAATCTATATGGAACTCAAACAAATTAGCAAGAAAAACCAAATAAGCCCATTACAAAGTGGACAGAAGACATGAACAGACATTTTTCAGAAGAGAAATGGCCAACAAACATGAAAAAAAACCTCAACATCACTAGTCATCAGGGAAATACAAACTAAAACCACAATGAGATACCACTTTACCCCCATCAGAATGGCCATTACTGTAAAGTAAAAAACAACAGATGCTAGAGCAGATGCAGTGGAAAGGGAACACGTACGCACTGTGGATGGGAATGTATATTAATACAATGGTTAGAGTAGGAGACTAGCAGACAGGGCTGAGACTGGATGCAGGGGCTGGCAGAGTAGGTGCAGGTGTTAAAGTAAACAATCCTCAGCCAGAAGCTAACTAGAGGACCAATAACCACAGGCAAGAACAGGCTTCAACTGGCTTGTCAGTTATCTCTGTCACCTTACATAAACTTTGGCTAATTATAATATCATTTGCATTGTGGTTTTAAAATTTCTCCACCCTTGAAATCACCATGACAGTTCTGAGACAACCACATAAAGTATGAAAATTGGAGGGAAACCAATTCTAGGAATTACCACCCACATTCTTAGGAAAAGCCAACCCCTTAGCTTTAAATATTCCTCCCCTCAATTAGTAAGACTTCAAAAGACTGAAAACCACACCACTTCCTCCTGGCGCAGCTGCTCTGTTGGCTCTCTCTTTCTCCTGAGATCCTGAGAGATACTTTTTAGCTTTCAAAAAAAAACCTGTCACTTGCTGGGCTGACATGGTGTGTCCTGCCTGAAATTCTTTTCCTGATGATCACCAATCACAAAGAACTTGGATAAATCTCCACTTGGAAGCCACTAATACAACCTCTATAGAAAACAGTATGGAGATTTCTCAATGAACTAAAAGTAGATCTACCATTCAATCCATCAGTCCTAGTACTGGGGATCTACCCAAAGGAAAAGAAGTCATTTTATAAAAAGGACACCTGCATTCATATGTTTATCACAGCATAAGTGATGAGCAGATTAAAAAAATGTGATACACACATACACACACACACACCCCATGGAATACTGACCAGGTCTGAAAAGTAATGAAATAATATTATTTACTACAACTTAGATGGAACTGGAGGCCCTTATCCTAAGTGAAGTAACCCAGGAACAAAAAACCAAACACTGCATATTCTCACTTATAAGTGCGAGCTAAGCAATGGGTATGCGTGGTCATACTGAATCACATAGCGGACATTAGAGACTCAGAAGGGGGAGGCCGAGAGGGGGGTGCGAGATGAAAAATTGCCTATCAGGTACAATGTACACCATTCAGGTGATAGGTACACTAAAAGCCTAGACTTCTCCACTATACAATTTATCCATGTAACAGAAACTTTGTACCCCCTAAATCTATTAAAACAAAATTTAAAAAATATTTTTTGCACCAAAAAATAATAATACAATCATATTTCTTGAAACTTTCAGGGTGCAGTTGGAACCAGCTTAATTAAGTTTGACCAAAGACAAAGGTGACTTAAGTAACAATTATCCTGATAGGTCATAAAATGGCAAAGGGAGAAAATCAGCTTGAAGGCATTTCAAACTCTCTGTGTAGTCCCCACACACACTTGTGTCTAATTCAGTGAGTGGAAGCCAAAACTGGCTCTTACTGACTTCTGCTGCCTGTCTGATAACACCACGATTTAGTCTTTACTGAAGTCTGATATACCACATCAGGCTAAGCTGCATCCTATCCTGCACAGAATGTTTTTTAGAAGTAACTGAACCTTGAAAATTTCTTCCCTCTCTTGCCCCATTCTTACCTTGACTAGAAAGTCAGAAGAGATCTTACAGAGCTGGTAAGAAAGCTGCTTTGATGTGAACCCGGTACAAGTTCAAGCTCTTGTTTCTTAATTTATAATAGCTCTGAGGATTTCTGACATACTTCTTCCTCACCCAATCCTGGGGATTTCTTCTCTCTCCACCCCCTCTTCCTTCCTCCTAAAGCAGACAATTTGAACATGAAATAGAAACAAAATGAAAAGGGGACGGAATTCAGAAACCGAAACCATAAAGCTAATTCAGTGACTAGGCTAGATGATGAAGGGAATTTCCCCATTGTTGCTGGGTGAATAGGGTGGATGTACTTGGCCTGATTTCTCAGAAATTGAAAAAAGTTGCTAAAAGAGAACTTTGAGATCCTTTGCAATTGTTTGAAGCATATGGTATTTACCTAATTTGAAATATGGTAACACATATCTCCAGTTTGGAAACAAGGTCAGGGGAAACCCAATATGACTTTTGAGGGCTAATTTTCCAAAATGCTAGATGCACTCACATAAGTTTATTGCTTTTACAGTAGGTTCAGTATCTGAGAACTTTAATTCACAGGCAAGGACAAAGTTTTTGGCACCTATCTTTTTTAACCTCTTTATTACTACATTTTAATTCTCCCAACAAATATCTCCCCCCGATTTTCCAAGAGGTAGGACACAGAGAGATTTACTAACTTGTCCAAAATCATAGAGCTACTAGTAATTGAATCTTAAGATTCAAACCCAATAACTTCATTATAATCCTTATGTGTTTGCTGAGTGAATCATCATCATAATCTCATCACGATCATTGCTCCTTTTTAATAACTGAATTCTAAGATCTGGACAACTTAAATATCTCATGTTATCCTGATTACCATCCTATAAGATAGTGGTTTTTATCTCTATTACACAATGAACAGAGGAGCTCTTAGGTCTGTTTTCTGAGGTTCAGTTCCTGAAATATGGACTTGTAAGCAAGGGATATTTATTTGGATGGTGATCCCAAAAAGCAAGTTAGGACAGTGGGAAAGTGAAAACTGGAAGAGAATGAAGCCAGTAAATAGGAACACATCTAGCAGGTCCCTTTGAGGGAACCAGGAGCTCCGATCTCCCGAGGTAACTCCAGGAAACATTGTAAAACCGGCCTCCAAGTTTCCTCTAAGATAGGTTAGCAACCTGGGGTGCTTTTCCTCCAACTTCCTTCAATCTCTGGATGGGGACTGCTCCTGAAAGCATAATCTCCTAACACTCCTGGCCTGGCCACATGTGGGTTGACAGCAAATCCTCACATGAAGGATCTTTGGTACTTGCAGTAAGATGCCATTGAAATGTGTAGAAAGGATGAGTGACAAGGGGAGATGGCCCTCACAGATGCTGTGGGTGTTGCACCCATATTCCCTCATAGCTCACATAAAGTCCACTCCTTTCCATCCCAGCTTCTTCAGTTTGACAGCTAGTTATAATTTATTTATATTTTTAAATTAGACACATCAGGAAAGTCGAAGCTACAGTTTTCATTGCTGCAACTGATTTCATAGTCACAACTGACATTCAAGATCTTCCCTGCTACTACCCATTCTAGATTTTGCTCATACTTGACCAGCAGTTGCTTTCCTGGTGGTGAGACACACATCATTCCTGAGGAACCAGAAAATCTTTGTCTGTGCTGCCAATGCTCTTAACGGGCATGGAAGCACCAAGAGTATCCCAGTAAATCCTCTAAGTTCCAGACATTCTCTTCCCTGCTTCTCTTATGTACTATTTCCTCACTAAAATCACAGTCATCTAAGCCTGCCAGTAGAGCAATCTCTTCTACTGCCTGCTGGATGGTCTACTAACATGAAGTTCACAAAATGACCAGATGGCAACTGTCGTTTCAGGTTTAGTGGAATCTTACTATGACCCCTGGTAGGACTACCACTTAACTCTACCGAGAACTGGTCCTCTGGTTTAGCAGAGGCTCAAGTTGTGGGGCAGGGGATCACAAATTCCTAAATGAGTCAATGGAGCACACTTCTATTTTTAACCCCTTGGTTCCCAGGCCTATAAATTCTAGCTGGCATATTATGGCCTTTAGTTCAACAATTATATGTGGTTACTTCAGATGACAATGCCCAACCCCATGATGTAATTTAGCTACATCTCTAAGTGGCTCCAATTTCTGTTAGGCTGGCAGCTTTTTGATGACATATAGGGACTTGTGGATTCTGTGGTTACATTCACATTGTGCCTCTTTAATGTAAAGTCAAAAATTTCTCTAAGCTGATGTTTAGCAGGATCTTATGATGGTGAACCAGACACTATGAGTCCTTCAATAAGTGCTGGCAAAATCACTCTAAGCAGAGAAATACCCATACCCAGAATTTATTTTAATTTTAGTAGAAAAGTACTGCTGTCTCCTCCAGGGTTCATTGGAATGGTATGATCACTTTGCCATCTAGTGGCTAGTTGGTCTTCTTGAAGGATGTTACTATATTGAAGGCTCAGTGTCAATTTCTGTTGTCTTCAGGCCAGCAATTAACATGTAGTGAGTTTAGCTGCTGTGAGAGGAAGCCCAGGATGAGGGGTCCATGCAAAGATCCCATCCCTGCCATCCTGTCTACTTTGTGCAAACACTGGGTAGCTGAGGACAAAAACTCGCTCAAATTTACTGGATGAGTCATTTTAGCCACCTGATTGTTCAGTGACTCTCTGAAATATACTCTCTTTGGTGGACATTGACAAAGACATAAAAATCTGCCCATTTTATATACCAACTTCTATAGATTCACCCACAGACCTCCTTATCTCTGATCTTCTTCTGGTTGTACTCCTTCTAAGCTGAGGCCGACCAGATAAACCATTCACCGCTGCTCAAGATTCTGTGTATAACCTGACTGCAGGCTACTTCTTCCTTTACACAAAATTGATAACCCGTTGAACTTCTTAAAATCTGTCCACAGAGAACACTTCTCTACACCAGTATCTTTTGGGACCTCCTTAGCTGCAGCAGTAATATGTTTTCAATTTGGTTTTTTGCAAATAGAAAAACCCAAACACTGGAATTAGAATAGTCAGATAATTTCATACCCTGAGTTGAAGTTCTCAGGTGTATTGAAAACCTCTTGCACTCATAAAAATTTCCTTGGCCTTATGTCTTACTATAGTCTCTGCAGTTATTACCATTTCAGCAGGTTTATATGGGTATCACTGGGTGGCTTCTCACTAGGGCTGGTACTTTATATCTTTGATACTTCTGCAGTGTGGCGTTCCAGCAAGAATTTGTTCAACATTTTTCCACATACAGCCCATAAGTGTAAGAAAGTTAATATCCATAACTATGGAAGCCAATGAGGAAATTCTTTTCCATTTTGTTTTCTATGTGTTTCATTCTGAGATGCATTTCATTGGGCGTTTCAGGGAGTTCTAGTGAGATAGAATAGTAATTACCTACAGTGGAGACCAATAACTTACTTTTTTATTAGGCTTCTCTCCCTCCCTGTTTTACTTCCCTGATCCTCTGTCCTGATCCTTTATATTTTCTCCTAGGATCATTTTTCTAAAAAAAAAAAAAACTCTTCACTCAGGCCTTTGTCTCAGGCTCTGAATTTGGGGGCACTCAGACTAAGACAGGTGGTAATGAAGGTCTGAGCATGAAGCCCCATATGGTGGTATTTTAGATTGAATCATTATTGGTCAGAGAACCATAAGGGTTCTGCTGGTGGTGATAAGTGGGAAGGTGGAAGCCTCTAACAAGTAAGTTAACTGGAATGAGACGCGGGTGGAAAATGAAGCATGGGTTATAGGATGGGGCTTTAAAAAGTATGGGTCCATGGTAATTATAAGGATGTTGGAGTTGGCTGACATTTTTTAATTTCTTGGAAAGCCATGGAAAAGAAAATAACAAGCTAAGAATGTTCCTTGGGGTCTCTAGTCTGCATGTACAAAGTCCAGCTACCCTAGGACTACAATGCTGAAGAGAGAAGAACTAAAGTAGGCACTTCAGTTGACATTCACAAATGGGCTCAGGCCTCCAACCATCGCCAACAAGACCACAAACATGTGAGTGAGGCCATCCTCAACCCTACAGACCACTGCATTTGTTAACTGAGGAGTGTCTTCGGTTGGAACCACTTGGAGCTGAAGTGTCACCCAGCCATGCGTGACCCAAATTTCTGACTGACATTATAATTAAATCATTAGCTACGATAAGATATTTATTGTTTTAAGCCATTAAGTTCTCAGGTATTTTTAAGCAGCAACGTATAGCCAGAACACTGGGAGTTATCATTTACCTTGACTACAATGAGGAACTAGGGTTATTTCTACCTAATAGGGGTATGGAGGAGTGTATTTGGAACACAGAGGATCGCTTGATTTTTCTGGTCTATGCTGAACTGACAATAAATAGCAGCAACAATAGTCAAAAAGAACCAGGTAACTAAGGGTTCAAACTTCTTAGGGTGAAGGTTTGGTTCACTTCACAAGCAAACTGCAGCCTCCAAAGTGTTGACTAAGAATTAAGGAAATCTAGAATGAGTGGTGCTATGGTTTGAATATATGTGTCCCTCCAAAATTCATATTTGGAACCTAATATCCAAAGCTATAATATTAAGAGGTGGTGTCTTTTGGGAAATGAGTATGTCATGAGTGCTCTACCCTCGTGAATTGGATTAAGTGCTCCTATAAAAGAGGTTGAAAGGAGCGTCGTGGTTCCTCTCACCCTTCTGCCATGTCAGGACATAGCAACAAGGCAGCACCTTGGAAGAGGAGAGCAAGCCCTTACCAGACACCAAATCTGCCATCGCCTTGAGCTTGGACTTCACAGCCTTCAGAACTGTGAGAAATAAATTTCTATTATTTATAAATTACCCAGTCTGTGGTATTTTGCCATAGCAGCAAGAACATACTAAGACAAGTGATACAAGAGGGAAATGAAGGCTGTCAGTTATAATCTCAAAACATGCTATTACAAGTGGGAGGTAGCTTTTCCTACCATTTATTAAATCCCTGTAGAGTTTCCAGCTGACAGCAACTTGAAAGAGACCCTGTGATGGGCTGTCCCACTGGAGGGGGCAAGTGGATCAAATGGTGCTACCAGTTGGACTGTAACAGCACTCCTTGTGCACCACTTAAAACTTCTCATGGCCCCACTT